GTGTGTGTGCGAGTGTGTGTGTGCGTGTGTGTTAATTAAATTTGTCCCTTAGTCTAATCAGCTGTTAAGCATCTTAAGCCCAAACACAAAAACTGCTGCACAAATTTAATTTGGCATTTCTAATGAAAAGTTGGTAAAAGACAAAGTTTGGTTTTTGTGCATAACTCGAGAATTCTGAGAGCTAGATAGATGCAACTTGATATCTAGGTTTTTGACTAGCTTCTACAGCTTGAAAGTACTTCACTTTTTGGATGCCTTACCCTATTTGCCGTAGAATTGCAAAAGAACTGCAGTTTCTTATGTACAGCCTTGGGCTTTGGTATTTAAACATTTTTTTAGGCCATATTCAAGTGCTCAAATTTTCATAAAGATCGCACTGGAGAGAGCCGAGTTACGTTAGGTTTCTATGCCTAAAATTGAATATGGTGCAGCCTCGCGCTCGCATTTGTTTTCTGGCAAGATGCTGTGCATCATTTTACAGCATAAATTGTGTGTTTTGGTGTTTTACATACCCTACAGTTTGCTGGCGCGTAGCTCGTATAACAGTTTTTGGATTCGGCTTTGTTTGGGTAACATGATGAAGCACCGCAGCGCGACACGACGTTGACATTCAATGACGTCTAGAGTTTTATTTATGTCCTTACAAATACAGTTGCTGCCTTTATTTTTTTTTCGTTTTGGGTAAAAAACGAGGCAAATCAATTGCCTCGTTGTCTGCGCGGCTCGATAAGGAAATGTCCTTAAAAAAAAAAACACACAGAATAAGAAGTGAAATAAGGCTGAAAACAAAGAAAGGTAACGAGCGGCAGTTGCTCGAAAGGAACACGGTTACGGTTCACGCATTTGACACCCCTCGCAAGAACACTTGGGCAGGACACTCTCTCGCTCTCTCTCTCTCTCTCTCAGGTAGCCTCTCGCCCCTCGCCCCTCCACACCTCTGCCCTCCTCATGTCTTATCGCATATGCATATATTTTGCTTCTTTTCCCGTTTTCCGACCTACCCCCACTGCAGTTTTTCGGCTCTTTTTTAATGCAATTTTTTGCATGAAAATTTCTGTTTTCCTTTGCCCATATTTTATTTATTTTTTTCATTCCGCGGGGTTGATTTTTTTGGGCAACTTTTACTTCCCAGATTCCCAAATTTTTTTAATTGCGTTTTTTCTTATTTTTTTTTTGGTTTTTTTTTTGGGTTTTTGATTTATTTTCGCAGCTCTTGAGAGTTCGTTTGGCAATTTTTAGCTAGATTTTTCTCACGAGTTTTAAGGTAAAAGACAAACAAAAATAAATCTTAAATCTCTGGGCTAGATTAAGAAGAAGTGTTTATTAATGAGACAATATTCTGGGTTGGTTTATTCTTTTTTGGAATTTTTTGGTAGATATTTAAGCTTGAGGGTAGCAAAAAAAAATATAAAAATAAAGCAAAGGAAATGCTGAGAGAAATTCAAAACTTAGAAAATATGAGATATATTTTTCTTAGTTTTTTTTTTTTTGGTATGAAAAGAATGGATTTTATTATTATAAAAATATTTAATTAAATAAAATATTGAGAATTTCGTGAATATAAAAAATAAATACAAATAAATTTGTAGCTGAGATAAAAGTACAAAATTTTGCTAAAATTGAAATGAAATAAATTTGATTTAATTTAAATATTATTCGCACTATATTTGAAACTAATACGCCCGCCTGACTGACTAACAGATTTTGAGGGGTATATATATATATCTATATACATATATATTCTCTTATATCTTCCTTCGCTTTCCTCTGGGCTTGCTCCATTTCCCTCAAGCTTTCATTAATTTCTTTGACTTTCTCATGATTTGGGCTCTGTTTCTTCCTCTCCCAATCATATATCCCAATCGCTGTTAGGAAATCACTTGAGATTCTCTACGCACTTGCCACATTTATGGGCAGTTAAAAGCAGAAGACAGAGGCAGGAGCTCGGAGCTCGGAATAGTTGCATGTACGCAGACCCGAATCGCTTTATGGCTTCATTAGACATTTCACTTTTAGGCACACGAATTTCCTTTTCATTTTCATTTACTTTTTTTAGTTGAAGTTTTAGTTTTTCCCTTTTCTTTTATTTTTTTAATATTTTCCGGCTGGCTCAATAAAATGCGTACGAACGAAACTCTGGCTTTATGATCTTTGCCTACATTGACTTAACCAATTCTCGGCAATGAGCGAGTTTTACGAGGCCAAAGGCCGAAAGGCCGAAAGGGCAAGGACGTTGCCCAAATAGTTAGCATATTTTCTATGAAAGGGTCAAAAGTCAAAGGCTCGAGCTCTGTCTCTATACGCTTTTTAGCGCATCCTTGTGAACGTGAGAGCCGGTCAGAACCAGTAGCCGAGGGGGGCGCGACTTTTGTGCCCAATTAACATGTTGTCAATCTGCTCAGCATCCTTTATAGGTGTACAGGGTATGCGCGGCGCACAAAACCTATCTGTACACGTCTTTTTTATGATTTACGTGGAAATCGCCGCAATTTACAGTCGCAGAGACGCGCGCATCGTAAAAAACGCAAGCAGCGCAAAAACAACACAACTACCAAGCAGTCGGGGACGACTTGAAGATACCCTGTAAATGACAAATAGCTGGGAAATGCAATAGAGTGAAAATAGTTTGAGTATAAGCAACAACTCTTGACTTTGGATTGCGAATGCCGTGTAATTTGTGAGATTTTTTTAAATTTTATAAAAAAGTGCACATATATTTATGGCCACAGTTGTACTACAGTGGCTGACTGTGTGTTAGATCGGGCATTAAATGAGGTATTTTTTATAATCCTTGACTTGTCATACATATGCCACACTCTCTCATATCCTCTAGCCATAAGTTAACAATTACAGGGTATCTATGAGTTGGTCTAGCGTAGCCTGAGACCCCTGCTAGACACTCTAGGTGGTTATCGGTGTGACGGAAGCGTTGCGCCTTTGGGCGTTAATTTCTGCGGCAGGACAAATGCATTTTGTACAATTTCATTTACCTGACGAGCTGCACTTTTGACTTTTTATGACTTTGTAACAATTTTTTATGATTTCGTTTTTCTTTTGGCCATAAAAAATTGTGCATCTTTTACCTGCTGCAAGTTGGTTTTTTATTTTCGCTTTATATGTACAGATACATGTATCTGAAAGATACATTTTTTTTTCGGTCACCTTGAAATTTGACTTTTCGTTATAATTTGTTTGGGTCTCTCTTTTTGTTGTCTATTCGGAAGTTTTCCGGGAATAATTTGCTGTATAAAATTGGGTCTTTTCTCACAGGGAAAACCGAATAATTTTCGAAATAATTTTCTTGATTTGTGAAAAGTTGAAAAGTTAACAGAAGAAAATTGTCTATCTATTTTCTATACGAGCTCAGTTTTTTTGGGATTTCAATTTTAAAGTACCTATTTTAAATTTTTAAAATATATAAGGAAATCAAAGTAATTTATAAGTTTTGTTAGAAATGATACTAAAGCATTTTCAACAATTTATATATATTTATTTAAAATAAAATAAAAAAGAAATCAAAATAATAAACGAATTGCCACAAGAAGCGAGCAGGAACCAGCTCGGCCGGGGAGAGGGGCGCCTTGTCGAGAGTTGAAGGGAGGAAGGGGAGGAGGGGGCGGGAGGTAGGGTAGCAGGACGACGTCTGCATAGCGCGCAGCATACAGCACATGTGTGCATAAATGAATGGCAAATAAATGCGAGAGCATAGAAGAACAAGAAGAACAAAGAGCCAAACGACGAGGCAGACGACAATGGGCACGGCTCAAAGCTGCAGTCGACGTCGCCGCGACGCAGCTTTAAAATATTTTTACATAGCCCGCACACACGCACGCACACACACACGCACACACACGCGCGCATAGTCGTTCGTATTTTGAGGCGTGTGCGCCAATCATAAAATAATATGCATACACACACAGACGCGCACACAGCGTCGCAGTCGACGCCAACGCCATTTGAAAGCTAAATTTAAATTTTAAGCCACACCCCAAACAAGCGCACGCATACTGCACAGGCACAGACACACACACGCACACGCACACATACAGACAATGGAGCCCAACGAACGGCAGCCGAGCCGCAACAAAACGAACGCTGCTGAGCCCCCCCCCCCCCCCCCACACACCCTACTCCACCTCACACACACACACACACAAGACATTGTAGTAAAATTTTAAAACGTATAAAATGTTGGAGCAGGCAGCACACACACACACAAGCACACGCACACAGGCGCGCTCACTCTCACGCTCACATTCACGCTCACACTCACGCTCACGCTCGCTCTCTCGCTGAACGCGCTCAAACTGCAAACGCAGTCTCACTCACTCACCAACACACACACACACACACACACAGGCAAGCGCTCATTTCTCCACGCAGCGAATGAGATTGAATGTGGAACGCGTTTCTAACAGGCATTCAAACCTAGAACGGTAAATAATGAGTGAGCGTGCGCACGCACACACACGTGCTTGAAGCGAGCGAGAGCGAGAGAGACCGCGCGCTTTCGTTCGTTAAGCTCACACGACACACACACACAGGCTTTTTTTTTGTGATTTGGAGCCAAGTGCAGTTGGCGCGCCGACGTGAAACCAGTTAAACGCGTTGACTCTGCTGAAGCACATCGTGCCGCTCGTCGTGTGTGTGTTTTTTAACAGCAGCAATAAATAGCTAAAAAAAAAAACATAAAGCGCAAACGTTCGTTTTTTTAGAGGCAAACAACCCTTACCGCTGGGGGTGGCAAGAGCCAGAGAAACTTCCCCTGATTTTTGGGCGCAAAAACACAAATTCTTAGCTCAAAACTCGCACTCAAACAAAGTCAATGCCGGCTGTGCAAGGCATTGAGTAAGAGAGAGAGAGAGAGAGAGAGAGCGAGACAAAGACAACATTTGCCAAGCAGCAGCAGTGCACGTCTATCAACAGCAACAGCAACAGCAGCAACATCATCAACAACAACATCATTATCGTCATCGCAATTTTCATCATCATCATCATCAGCAGCAGCAGCAGCAGCAGCAGCAGGCGAGCGGCCTAGCGTTTATCCATCAGATACAAGAGCCGAGAGTCGTCCTGGCGCATCGCAACGCTTCTGCCGCTGTCAGTTTCAAGCGAAACACGAACGCGTTTGGACGCAGGCCGGCGCACAAAAAAAAACAAAATTTATAGCGAAAATAATCTAAAAGCAAACAATCAAACATTTAAGTAGACAAACAGCCAGTGTTGTGCAGTGCAAGTGTTGCAAAACAACGCCAAGCTTCTGACAATTAGAAAGTGCTATAAAGAACATATACCAAGCGCAAAAGATAACAATCCTAATATATATATATATATACACTATCAGATTGTGAAAATGGTTATGTCGGAGCTACATTGGCGAACAGCTAGTCCCGAGGATAATAACAATTCCTTGAAGCATGATCTATTGAAAGGCAACAACAACAGCGCTCGAGACGCTGCCGTGCACATGATGCAGAATCGATGTAAGTTTCAGATAAAAACTATTACTCAAATAGAGAATATTTTTGGGAAATTAAATGATAAGAGTTTCGCATTTGTAGAACAATATTTCATTGGACTCTTAATGAGTTTCCAGGAATCTATAGAATTTCTGTAAGAACTATATTTTGTATATATTTTTGATGAAAAGTTTCAACAATTTGTAGAAATATTTTGGGTATATTTTGTATACTTTTTGATTACTTGCAATACAAATTCCATAAGATTTAAATCTTACTAGAATTTCTCAAAGATTATTCAAATCTCTCTCTTCTAATATATTAGAAACTATTCCAATGAATTATTTTATTGAAATAAAATAAATCAACTTTTATTGGGCTCAAGAAATAAACAGAATCTTTCTTGCTGTAGGGAAATTCTTGCCATAATCCAATTGCAACTTTTTCTATTTATTTATGGTATTATATATTTATTTAGCATAGTTTCTGTATATATTTAAGAAACTGTTTGATCTATTAAATATTTATATAAAATATTTGTAGATATTATAAATAATTATATAAACAATTCCCATGTGAAGTTAAAAGTCTGATTCACAGTCAGATCTACGAATTCAAAATTTCGCTCATGCGTAAGCTCCTTGATATTGTTATTAATTAATGCATTTGATTTAAGTATTAGTATTACTAATCGAATTGCTTATTATTATAATGACTGGCTGACAGCCAAAGCAGAGCCACCCACCAGCTGCAACGGCTCGACTTGAGGCGCAGGTGTGCCTGTCATAAATAAATATCACAGTTTTCCCCATCCTCAAACCCCCCTCCTCCCTTCCCCCTCCTCCCTACGGACGGCGCGACCCACTTAAGCGCGCACTTGCTGTCGTGCCAAGCACAGAACTACTCAACTACAACTAACTGACGAACACTGGTCATAAAAAAAAAACAACAAAAAATAAATAAATTTATTAAAGACGCATTTCTTACACAATTCGAGTAAAATGACCATGTAACTGGCGAAGCCTCTTGTAAACAATACGATTTTTAGTTGCTTATCAGGCGTGATAAATAAAATACGTAAATGCGTTGTATACATTGTACAACACTGGCCAACGAATGTGGGCTAACTAGTGTTGTAAGTAATTGCAGAGATTGTAGTTTCATTGCAATTGAGATGAGATCGTGAAGATATAGTTTCTTAAAGGATATGGTATATATATAAACTCTATATATTTGCTGCTGACTGTTTTATATAACACTAAAGTCTTCGAATCTTCTAGTATAGTATGCTTAATATCTTCATGTTACATAACACTGGCAGCAGCAAGTAGTTAGACATTCTGGCTTGATGAGAATAAACGACAAGTCGGGCATATCGTATTATGCAATATAGTTATATAATATGCTATATGGCATACTCGATATGAACTATATAGTTAAATCTTATAAGATATAAAAAGTCCCTTTAGAAAACTCCATAAATTAAGGGCTTGTGAAATTGGGCAGCATTCGGTTGATTCATATAATTAATAACAGAAAATGATGATGGATTGTTAATGTACGAATTGAATGGGTCATAGATAGATTATATGTATATCAAGTGCCATTTGCCACTAATATCTCAAGTACAGCTTTTTTTTCTTTCTTTTTACAAATATATGTCTTAAGTTTTGCCGTAAGCCGAATGCCTTCTTATCGTGGCAACCGATTAAATATGTCCGAGTCCCATGATTTCCATATACACGCGGTTATCTTGGCTCTCTTGATATATATTTTTTTTCAGTGCGCTTATCTCCAGGCACACCTGCACCAGAACGAAATGAACGAAAAACGAGAAAGCAAGGCTATCTTCGGCACGCCGAAGATCTAATACCCTTGCAGACCCAAACTTTTCATAATGCTTGCAGTGCTTTGCCCGTATCTAAGATGCACAGGGAAAAGAGTTAATGCCGAGTTTGGACAAGATAAAGGTTTATAATCAAAAACCTAGTTTTCGAACGATCGTTCCTATGGCAGCTATATGATATAGTGGTCCGATCTTAATAGGATTTTGCATATATATGAGAAGTATAGTAGAACTAATAAATTTCGAGTTTGGTCGAGATATCATGAAAAACAAAAAGTTTTTTCATACAACAACTTACTTTTCGACCGATCGTTCCTATGGCAGCTATATGATATAGTGGTCCGATCCAGCTGGTTTTCACGTATGTGCTGCGTGCAACAGAAAGAGGGACTTCTGCAAAGTTTCATTAAAACTGAGAGACTAGTTCGCATAGAAACAGACAGACGGACAGACGAACATGGCTCTATCGACCCGGCTGTTGATGCTGATCAGGAATATATATAGTTTATGGGGTCGAAGGAGATGTCTCCTGCTATGCGTTACACATTTCACGACAAAATTATAACACCCTCTGCAAGGGTATAAAAAAAGTAATGAAATAGGACTACACGTAATGCTGCTCCAAAAAGTTCTTGGTAAACAAATTTCGTCATAGTCCGACGCAAAAGAAATCGAAAAAAAGAAACAAAACTGCGTTGATTACAATAAATAAAACGTTCGACAATAAGTTTTAAATTAATATGCTTAGATTTATTTCGACCGATTGACGACAACATGTCGATTATTTTTAGCCGTGATCGTCATATGAGCTCATAACCGGACGATAACGCTCAACTAGAAGAACAAGAGTATGAAGAATTAGTACAAGGCTAATTTCTGTTATCGTCGATTAGGTGAACTGGTCAAGAAAGAGGGCGTGTGCTTTTTTTTATGGCCAGTTCCAAGAAGTAGGCCCAATAAAAAGCAAAAAAAAAAAAAATACAGCTAAACAGAAGAAAAATTATCGATTAATTTTTGGTTATCGTTGCGGAAATCGACTTCCGTTGCAGAAGCTGCTCTCCCTCTCTCTCTCTCTCCCTTTCTCCCTGTCTCTCTGTTTGTTTTGCTACGCATATACGCACAAAGCAAAGGGCACAAGAAGCTGCCGCACGCACAGCTACGGCGGGGTCAAGAGTTCAAGACACGCAGCTTCCGACGACGAGTCAATCGATAGCCATATTCAGTCTGCGCACGTGATGTGCCACACACAGACACACACTCACACACACTCACACACTCACACACACTCACACACTCACACACACAATCAGGCTACACCCACACTCACCCACACACACACACACACACAGCTGTCGAGGTCATTGACTAATTGTGCAAAAGTATCTCTCCTTTTGCACGCTTGCCTCAGTCCTGCTATTTTAGCTTTATTCCAGCTAAATTTGGCTGTTTTCTGGCGTGTGCTATTTTTAGCTGTTTTGGCTGCTTTTTGGCAACTTTATGCGCCACTTATTCAGCTATTTTTAGCTTTTTATTCAATTAGTCAGGCTCGTCGCCTCAGGCTCTCTCCCTCCATCTCTCCCTCCCACTCTCTCTCTCTCTCTCTCTCTCTCTCTCTCTCTCTCTCTCTCTCTCTCTCTCTCTCTCTGTCTTTCTCTCTCTCTCGCTCTCTCTCATTTAAAGTCACCCGCTGCGTTTTTCGTATGCTTTTCGTCTGCGGTTTTTGCATTTGTTCAAATGTTTGGCCTCGAAATTTTTAATTCGTTTTCCGTCAAATATTGCGCTTTTCCGATTTTCCGCAGTTTTTGACCCGCTGCGCGACACGCATTACAACCACCCCCCTCCCCCTACCCCCCCTCACCGTGCTGGCAGCGGGGGTGGCTTTTCAAAATGAGCTGCATAATTTATGTGGCATTTTAACGCGCAGTTTTTGTTGCTGTTGAAAATTAGTTTGGCTCGCCGAGGCCTTAAGTGCCAGCGCCTTGATTGGGTTAGCTCAGGCAACGGCACGGGGTAGGGGTAGGGGTAGGGGTACGTGGCAGTGGCAGTGGCTCCGGGGGCAGGGGTAGGTCCAAGGCGCAGGCATACACGTTTTCACGGCACATATGCCACATATCGGCATAGATCTGAGATATCTTTCCTTCTCCTTCCACATTTTCTGTTGCCACTTGAGTGGACGAGTTCTTGAATTGCTGCTGAAGTGTGGCAGCAGCAACAACAACAACAACAACAGTTGTCGCTTAATTAGTCAACGAAAAGGCGAGAGAAAAGTGTGCCAGAAGCGCGTGCGTGTGTGTGTGTGTGTGTGTGACAACAGTTGGGCAACATCTTGGGAGAAATGTAAAACTGAACTAAGCATAACTCGAGAACTATTGAAGCTAGATGAACAGACTTTGGTATGCTGCTTCTTGTAGAGTATATACAAGTTTTGTCTTTGACATTTTCTATATACTCTATATAGAAGTCGAGTTACAACCGAAAATAGTGCGCTTACTAAAGCAAATTCTCATATCTGAGCGATCTCAAATGAACTTGCATCAGAAATATCTGAAAGATCTCTGAAACGTTATATAAGACACTCCAGTTTATTTATATTTATGTATATATAATAAAATACATAATCTTTTTTATTAAGAAAAACACGCTCTGTGGGCATTCCCTGGCCCATTCAGTCTAATTTATGCCCACACTTGGCCAAAAAAGATTAACGGCGTTTACTTTATGAGCACTCGATAAGAACTGTTTCGAATTAACAAATCAGCTAGTCGGAATTTATGGCAGCTAGAAAATTGTCATTCTTGTTGCAATAAATAGGATTGTTAAAGGAATCGCTCAGATATGAGAGAATTTTCTCTAAAACTCGGTTTCTATAAGGGTTATATAGGTGCTGCTTAGGAGAAAACTTGTATATAGTCTAAGAGAAGCTGCATACCAAAGTCTGTTTATCTAGTTGATATAGTTCTCGAGTTATGCTTGGTTCAACTTTGAATTCTTCCCATGTTGTTGTGGGCCTTAATTGTCGCACAATAAGATCTCTTCTATTGTTCAAACTCAACATTATGCTTTGACATTCATAGGACTGCATTAGTTTCGGTTAAAACTCGGCTTCTATCTAGAGTATATAGAAACTGCTTAAGAAAAAACTTCTATATACTCTACCCGTAGCTGCATACCAAAGTCTGTTTAACTAGTTGATATAGTTCTCGAGTTATGCTTAGTTTTACCCATAAAATTATGAGCCTTATTTATCGCATAATTAGATTTCTTCTACTATTCAAACTTAACATTATGCCTTGTCTGTCATGAGACTCTATTTTATTGGCATTTCGTATAGACCAAGATTAGTTACATTCACGTTTTCCCTTGCTGCCCGGAAAAACCTATGGATTAGTCATTCGATTACCATAAAAAATGTTGCTAAAAAACGAGTTGCAGTTGCGAGTTGCATGCAACAGACATTTTCCTTCCAATCGAACTCAGACTCATAAATTGGCCAGCAGAGACCGAGTTGAGTTGAGGACGCGCCCCAATTGTGCCCATAAAATGCACTCAACGAAATATATACACAAATTCAAATTGTGTGTGGAGAAGGGGTGAAGGGAGAGGGGGGGGGGGGGGCTACAGACAGTGTGTACCAGGTGCTGGCCATAAAAATATCCTTTAATGCAGCAGCGTGTCCTGTCTGCGGCCATTTGGTCAGTTAGCTAAAACGTATCGAATATCGATTCAGCTTCCCCCCTCTCCCCTCTACCCTCTCTGTCGCACTCCTTTGCTCAGTTTATGCCTGATACGTGCTGTCGCCTGCTGCTGGCTGCCTAAAATTAAGAAGTTTTCCACGACTAACCGATGCATTTTCCCCATTTTCTCCCCCTCTCTCTCTCTCTTGCAGATATCAGCCGACTGTCGCGTTCGCCGTCGCCGCTGCAATCGAACGGTAAGTGCTTTACTTGAATACACTTTCAGCTCTTTAAAGTCGCAACCGAAGCCGAAGTCTCATTAGGGAACAAGTCGAGGCATCAGCTGTTGTCCGAGCATTCAGGATTTGTCCACTTGGAAAACATCTGCCCAAAGATGAGACAATAAAATACGTTTGGAAAATGCGAGGTTCGAGGTTTGAGCTGCCGAAGCAACCCTTGCAATCAAAACTGCGCGCTCGCCGGCCACGCGCTGTGCCCAGGGTTAGGGCTTAGGGTTTCCATTTCCATTCTCAATATGTCTATTTAGGGTTAGGGCTAGGGCTAGGGTTACGCATTGTGCAAAGTTAGGGGAACTGTAACTCAACAATGGCTGTCAAAACTTTTGTCGCACACGAGCCTGTGATTTAGTAGGGCTGAGAGCGGCCAAAAGTGTTGGGGGTAACTCTGGCTGTATCTTTAAGTTGATTTTGATGTCTTATTAAATGGTTTTGCTTTCTTGCTGGTTTAACACAGCTTCTTGAGTGCGCGTGCATTAGCTGACAATTGTCAGTGTCATTTGGGGGCGTGGCCAATTGTCTGCTCTAGGGTTGTCATCGAAATTGTCGGGGCGTACACTAATTGCCACCGGGCAGGAATCTATCTTTAAATAGATACTTGTTTAAATTTGACTTTTTGGTATTCATGGCTGCGCATTATTATTCATAGCTCGTTATTTTGTGTGTCTGAACTGCGTAAAATTTGCAATTCACACTTTACAAATTTCATGGCAACAACATCGTCATCATCATCATCATCAGCATCAACAACAACATCATCATCATCATCATCTTTATCAAATACCATGCATATGTATATTTAGCACGCCCACGTTCCGAACTTCGTTAGTCACGGCTTGGTCCAGGGTCCAGAGCTCCTGGACCTTTTTTTCTTTTTTCTCTTTTATATTATTGACAGCATTTCGCTTGATTTGAATTCTCACATGTGTGTGTGAGTGTGTGGGACCCAGTTGCTGTGATTTCTTGCGCTCCCTTTTTTCGTTTTTGCTACCGAATGAACACATATTTACATATATTTTATGCAAAAATTATGCCGTTATGCACGAGTGTGGGAGCTGTGGACGTATGTGTGCAAGTCAAACTGACCATTTGGCTTTTTTATTGGTTGGCCAAAAAAGCAGGGGCGTCCCTTTAAGGGGGGGACAACTACCCAACTACCTGAAGTACAGCAGGAACCTTTATATTTCGCCCAGTTTTGTAAACTATTTCCGGCCTGATATCTCTCTTAATAACAAAGCTAACTATTGTAACTCGACTTCTGGAAGAGATATCAACCTGCAATTTGCACTATAATTCAGACAACAATTCAATTAACAATTTTCCACTGTAAAGTACTATCCGTAGTTAGACCAACCTATTGTAACCCAGCTGTTGCTTGAGCTAGACTTTCCAAATTTTTGTTATCTATTTTAGCAACTAAGAACCCCCGTTAAATGCTTTGCCTAAGCCACTGCGTTCAGTTCTTCACACAACACATACAAATCGAATTTGCACATCATCTGAATACCAAATGGCCGCACGTAGCCTTAACAGAAATTTACTCTGCCGCAGCAGCCGCAGCAGCAGATGACTGTGAGGCACCCACTCGTTCGAATAAGTCATCAAATTCACGTAGCATCCACCACCAGCCGGAGCCACAAGTCATAAAGTAGCCTCCTCTGTGGCCAAACATATGCAAAAATTGTTGCTGTTGTTGTTGTTGTTGTTGGGCCTGAGACTGGACACAGCTGACTGACCAGTTGGTTGCCAGGATGTGGCCATGGGAAATTGGCAAAATCGAAATGCCACAATTGAGATTTTAATAGAAGCGTGTGTGCGAGGGAGATTGGGGCTCTACTTCAAAGGGGCTGCTATTGAAAAGGGTTTGCAACTTTTGATTGCCGGGCAAAAGTTTAGCCTAAGAAAAAAAATGAACTGACGCATTTAAATATTATTGCAAATCAATTGAGTGGTCCCCCCTTCCCCGCTTCCCCTCATTGACTACGCCTTTGTGCAAATAAAATGCATAGAAATAGCAAATTTATACAAATCGCTGGCCGCAGCATTTGAAATGCTAAAATGGCACTCGAGAGCAGCAGCCAAAATGAAAAGAAAACACGAGAATTCCATTTGATGTACTGTTGCGCAACGTATGTGGCCGAAAGGTAAACTAACTATGTAAACTATGAGCCGAGTTGTGGGAGGGGCGTGCCTGGGTGGCTGTAGAAAACCCTTCTTGCAGAATACGAGACGCGCTTGTGTGGGCCTGCAAAAGCCTTTCACCCACAACAAAAGCCAACGGACTATGAAATTGTATCGAAAATTATGCAAACACATTCCGGTCTATGTTAAAGTTATGCAAAGGACATTCCGGCCTGGGTTGATGGGGTGTTTAGTAGATGTTTAATTTGGCTGAGGCGGGCTTCGATGTCTTTAATCGATTCGTAAATAGTTTTTTTAAAAAGTTGTGAGTGGTTTTTTCTTTAGCTAGAGAAAGGTCTAAAAAGCTGCTGTTCCATGTGCTTGTATAGAAGGGGTCGCTGATGGATTCTTTGTCATTCAGACCTTTCATCTTGGTCTTTTCTGAGAACTAGTTCTTTGTAGTCCTACATGGTGTTCCATTAGTTGCAGTTCATTTTGCTCTCACAAGGTTGCTCCACAAGAAGGTTGCTCTACAAGTTTTATAAGAAATAGTTCAGAGTGGGTTATTTGAACTAGTTCTTGATTGGTATTACATGGTGTTCCATTAGAACTAGTTGTTTTTGATCCGACATGGTGTTCATTAGAACTAGTTCACAGTGGGTTATTAGAACTAGTTCTTTGTTGACTTAAATGGTGTAAATTTGAATTAGTTCTTTCTTGATTTTACATAGCATTCCATTAGAACTAGTTCATTTTGGTCTGACATATTGGTTCATTAGAACTAGTTTTTTTTGTACATGGTGTACCATTAGAACTTTTTTTTTAAATAACATGGTTTTTTACAAGAACTAGTTCAAAGTGGGTTATTTGAACTAGATCCATTTTGGGCTTACTTTGCGTTCCAATAGAACCAGTTCTCTTAATGGAACTATTTTTTTCTATCTTCTATAACAATATAAATTCTTTCTAGTATCAAAATTTTTTAGCGCAATAGGTTTATAAGCTATTTTGCAAATTGCTTCAGAAGTTCTTCAAATCTCGAACTAGTTCAATTTCCTTCAAGTTTCCAGCGTGACTTTAGCTCTGCCCCAACTTGCATTCCCCCTTCGGACATAAACAATTGCTGCAATATTTCTCTTCCTCTCTCTCCGCTTTGCAGCTTCGGATTGCGATGACAACAACTCGAGCGTGGGCACTTCCAGCGATCGCTGTCGATCGCCCCTGAGTCCGGCTCTGTCGCTGCAGCAGGCGAAGCGACAGCTGCTCGCGATGCAGCCGCATCCGGCGCACCACCACCAGCATCACACGAATCATCACACGAATCACCATCACCATCACCATCAGCAGCAGCAGCAGCAGCAGCAGGTGTACAAGCTGGAGCAGCCGGACGAGGATTACGATGATGCCAATGGCGGCGCCCTCAATCTGACCAGCGACAATTCGCGACACAGCACTCAATCGCCGGCGAATTCGGTCAAGTCAACGGCTGCCACGCCTCCCAGTCAGTTGGCTGCCCCGCCGCCCATTTCGCCCGTGCTGCCACCCAACGTGGGCACGCCCACCACAATGGCAGCGGCGGCGGCGGCAGCGGCAGCTGTCGCCACGAGCGTGGCCAGCGGCATGCAGCCGCTGCTCGCGCTGCCCGGGCTGTCCTCGCCGCAGGCGCAATTCGCCGCGGCCGCCGGCCTCGGGCTGAATAATCCGCTGCTGGCGGGCTCCATTTCGCCGCAGGACTTCGCCCAGTTCCAGCAGCTGCTGCAGCAGCGACAGGTGGCGCTGCAGCAGCAGTTCAACAGCTATATGGAGCTGTTGCGCAGCGGCTCGCTGGGCCTGCCGCAGGACGATCCCGCGCTGGCGACACAGGTGGCCGCGGCCCAGTTCCTCATGCAGAGCCAGATGCAGGCGCTCGCTCAGGCCACGCAGCAGCTGCAGACGCTGCAGAAGCAGCAGGAATCGCTCTCGCTCTGTAAATCGCCGCTGCTGCAGCCGCGCAGCTCGACGCCGCATGCACGCAGTCCGGCGCCGGTGCGCAGTCCGGCCAGCTCGCCGCAGTCGCAGCAGGCGTCGCATCATCCGCTGCAGATAACGCCGCCCAATTCGGCGGCCAGCCTCAAGCTGAGCGGCATGCTCACGCCCAGCACGCCCACCAGCGGCACTCACAATCACAATCACAGCCAGACGCCGCAGCCGAAGACTGTGGCCAGCGCGGCGGCGGCGCGTGCCGCGGGCGAGCCCTCGCCGGAGGAGACCACCGATCTGGAGGAGCTGGAGCAGTTCGCCAAGACGTTCAAGCAGCGTCGCATCAAGCTCGGCTTCACCCAGGGCGATGTCGGCCTAGCCATGGGCAAGCTCTATGGCAACGATTTCTCCCAGACGACCATCTCGCGCTTCGAGGCTCTCAATCTCAGCTTCAAGAACATGTGCAAGCTGAAGCCGCTGCTGCAAAAATGGCTGGACGATGCCGATCGCACCATTCAGGCCACCGGCGGCGTTTTCGATCCGGCCGCGCTGCAGGCGACGGTCAGCACGCCAGAGATCATTGGAAGGCGGCGCAAGAAGCGCACCTCGATTGAGACCACGATTCGCGGTGCCCTGGAGAAGGCCTTCATGGCCAACCAGAAGCCCACCTCCGAGGAGATCAGCCAGCTGGCCGATCGCCTCGGCATGGAGAAGGAGGTGGTGCGCGTCTGGTTCTGCAATCGCCGCCAGAAGGAGAAGCGCATCAATCCCTCGCTCGACAGCCCCACCGGCGCTGACGATGACGAGTCGCCCTACATGCTCCACTAGAGCTGGCGCAACTCTAAGATTGGGACACAGACAGTGCAATGTGCGCAGACCATAAAAAAACAAAGCGCACAGCTTAACTAACTAGAAGCAGGTGTGTAACAAATAATAATATTCATATCAATACATAATTGTATGATATATTATAGAATATAATATATAATATATACAAATAATACAGTTAATATTTAAAATAATATTATATGACACAGAGAATATTACATTTTTTAGCAAATGTTTTCGATTGGCTTTTCCCCTAGTGTATATTATAATTTGGAAAGATGAACCAAGAACTAGTTCAATTTAACATATGAGTATGCATACAGTAGCTTTCTACACATGAACTAGTTAAAAAAAATGGTTCCAAAGAACATTTTTTTACTAATATTTGAATTTGAAAAATTTTAGTCACAATTTTTTATTCAAAAGAAACTTGAAATATAAAAAAAAAAGAAAATAAAAAAATATTTTATAAATAATTTTATATTATGAAAATATATATTTTGTAATATAAAAATTTCTTATTTTTAAAAATAGTTTTGATTTAATTTTTATATTATTTTTTCTATGTATATTATTATTATTTTTTATTTTATATATATATATTATATATTATATATTTTACATATTTTTTCTTACTAAATTTTCGCTCACTTTGCTCTTCTTTGCAGGTTTAAAGTCGCAAAACACATTAAATATTAGCATAAATTTTAACTATGATTCGGTTTCAAGAACCAATCACACACACGCACACACACGCACACCCACACACATACACACGCATGTGGCTCTGTGTTTTGTTTTATGTTAACTATTATTGGTATTTATTATAACAAATAAAATATATATATATAAAAAAAAAGTACTTGCATAAGAAAAGTAGCGCAAAAATGTCGCTGCTCAAGTGAACGTTGCCTTTGAACTGGAACTTGTTCACTTGAACACCAACATTTTACACCGCAAATTTCATGCAATTGCCCACTGTGCGCGCACTGTGGGCAAATGTATTCAATTTGTTGTAATAAAAATATCCGGTTCTACACGGCGTATGATTAATATTTAAGTAAAGCTTAGCCTAAGACGTCTTTCTGTGTAGATTCAAGTCAGTAAAAAAACAGTTTCTAGCGAATAATTTCACTAACAAAATAATAAAAACATATAAAAAGGAAGAATTATTTTAAAAATTCATAAAACCAACTTTTAAGCATATTTATTTTTTCGTGAATACTGTGATAATCAATTGAATGATTTTTAATATTAATTTTAACAAAAACTAAACAAAAAAAAATAAATAAATAAATAAATTAATATTTAGCAGTACTTTGTATGTTATGGGCAATTCAAGAAATTAAAAAACATTTTAATTTAAATTTAAATATACTCTATAAAAAAATATGAAACTTGTAACAGAAAACCAATTGAATTTATCAGAAACACACACATTTGTAATTGTAAATTATAAAAACTAAACGAAAAGAAGGCAAAAAATATATATATTAAAACTTGTACTAATAGAATTTTAAAATGTATAAAAAAGAAATTAAATTAAAAAAAAATTAATAAAAAATTAAATAATTATCAAAGAAATATTAACAACGCTTTTTTCAATTGGACTGGGATCATGTAAAAGTGATTTGACCGAGTTATGGAGATGGCAAATTTTGACCCATGTCTATATACGAATCTCGGGGTAAGATTTGGACATGAATTTAGACAAAAAAAATAGGTGTTCAGATTTTAATGCCAGATCAATCTAGAGAGAAAACCATGAATAAAAAGCCAAGCTTCGTGGAAATCGGATGAGATTTGACCGACTTATGGAGATGGCAAATTTTGACCCATGTCTATATACGAATCTCGGGGTAAGATTTGGACATGAATTTAGACATAAAAAATAGGTGTTCAGATTTTAATGCCAGATCAATCTAGAGGGAAAACCATGAATAAAAGGCCAAGCTTCGTGGAAATCGGATGAGATTTGACCGAGTTATGGGGATGGGAAATTTTGACCCATATCTATATACGAATCTCGGGGTAAGATTTGGACATGAATTTCGACCAAAAAATAGGTGTTCAGGTTTTAATGCCAGATTATTTTAGAGGGAAAACCATGAATAAAAAGCCAAACCTTGTGGAAATCGCATGAGATTTGGCCGAGTTATGGCGATGGGAAATTCTGACCCATTTCTATATAGGAATCTCGGGGTAAGATTTGGACATGAATTTCGACCAAAAAATAGGTGTTCAGATTTTAATGCCAGATTGTTTTAGAGGGAAAACCATGAATAAAAATCCAAACCTCGTGGAAATCGGATGAGATTTGACCGAGTTATGGGGATGGGAAATTTTGACCCATATCTATATACGAATCGCGGGGTAAGACTTGGACATAAATTTCGACCAAAAAATAGGTGTTCAGGTTTTAATGCCAGATTATTTTAGAGGGAAAACCATGAATAAAAAGCCAAACCTTGTGGAAATCGGATGAGATTTGGCCGAGTTATGGGGATGGGAAATTCTGACCCATTTCTATATACGAATCTCGGGGTAAGATTTGGACATGAATTTCGACCAAAAAATAGCTGTTCAGATTTTAATGCCAGATTGTTTTAGAGGGAAAACCATGAATAAAAATCCAAACCTCGTGGAAATCGGATGAGATTTGACCGAGTTATGGGGATGGGAAATTTTGACCCATGTCTATATACGAATCTCGGGGTAAGATTTGGACATGAATTTCGACAAAAAAATAGGTGTTCAGGTTTTAATGCCAGATTATTTTAGAGGGAAAACCATGAATAAAAAGCCAAACCTTGTGGAAATCGGATGAGATTTGACCGAGTTATGGGGATGGGAAATTTTGACCCATGTCTATATACGAATCTCGGGGTAAGATTTGGACATGAATTTCGACCAAAAAATAGGTGTTCAGGTTTTAATGCCAGATTATTTTAGACGGAAAACCATGAATAAAAAGCCAAACCTTGTGAAAATCGGATGAGATTTGGCCGAGATATGGCGATGGGAAATTCTGACCCATTTCTATATACGAATCTCGGGGTAAGATTTGGACATGAATTTCGACCAAAAAATATGTGTTCAGATTTTAATGCCAGATCAATCTAGAGGGAAAACTATGAATAAAAAGCCAAGCCTCGTGGAAATCGGATGTTATTTGACCGAGTTATGGGGATGGGAAATTTTGACCCATGTCTATATACGAATCTCGGGGTAAGATTTGGACATGAATTTCGACCAAAAAATAGGTGTTCAGGTTTTAATGCCAGATTATTTTAGAGGGAAAACCATGAATAAAAAGCCAAACCTTGTGGAAATCGGATGAGATTTGGCCGAGTTATGGGGATGGGAAATTCTGACCCATTTCTATATACGAATCTCGGGGTAAGATTTGGACATGAATTTCGACCAAAAAATAGGTGTTCAGATTTTAATGCCAGATTGTTTTAGAGGGAAAACCATGAATAAAAAGCCAAACCTTGTGGAAATCGGATGAGATTTGGCCGAGTTATGGGGATGGGAAATTCTGACCCATTTCTATATACGAATCTCGGGGTAAGATTTGGACATGAATTTCGACCAAAAAATAGGTGTTCAGATTTTAATGCCAGATTAATTAAGAGGGAAAACCATGAATAAAAAGTCAAACCTCGTGGAAATCGGATGAGATTTGGTCGAGTTATGGGGATGCGAAATTTTGACCCATGTCATACGAATCTTGGGGTAAGATTTGGACATGAATTTCGACCAAAAAATAGGTGTTCAGATCTTAATGCCAGACTGTTTTAGAGGGAAAACCATGAATAAAAATCCAAACCTCGTGGAAATCGGATGAGATTTGACCGAGTTATGGGGATGGGAAATTTTGACCCATGTCTGTATACGAATCTCGGGGTAAGATTTGGACATGAATTTCAACCAAAAAATAGGTGTTCAGATTTTAATGCCAGATTAATCTAGAGAGAAAACCATGAATATAAAGCCGAACCTCGTGGAAATCGGATGAGATTTGACCGAGTTATGGAGATGGGAAATTTTGACCCATGTCTATATACGAATCTCGGGGTAAGATTTGGACATGAATTTCAACCAAAAAATAGGTGTTCAGATTTTAATGCCAGATCAATCTAGAGGGAAAACCATGAATAAAAAGCCAAGCCTCGTGGAAATCGGATGAGATTTGACCGAGTTATGGAGATGGGAAATTTTGACCCATGTCTATATACGAATCTCGGGGTAAGATTTGGACATGAATTTCGACCAAAAAATAGGTGTTCAGATTTTAATGCCAGATTAATCTAGAGAGAAAACCATGAATAAAAAGCCGAACCTCGTGGAAATCGGATGAGATTTGACCGAGTTATGGGGACGGGAAATTCTGACCCATTTCTATATACGAATCTCGGGGTAAGATTTGGACATGAATTTCAACCAAAAAATAGGTGTTCAGATTTTAATGCCAGATCAATCTAGAGGGAAAACCATGAATAAAAAGCCAAGCCTCGTGGAAATCGGATGAGATTTGACCGAGTTATGGAGATGGGAAATTTTGACCCATGTCTATATACGAATCTCGGGGTAAGATTTGGACATGAATTTCGACCAAAAAATAGGTGTTCAGATTTTAATGCCAGATTAATCTAGAGAGGAAACCATGAATAAAAAGCCAAACCTCGTGGAAATCGGATGAGATTTGACCGAGTTATGGGGACGGGAAATTTTGCCCTATGTCCATATACGAATCTCGGGGTAAGATTTGGACATGAATTTCGACCAAAAAATAGGTGTTCAGATTTTAATGCCAGGTTATTTTAGAGGGAAAACCATAAATAAAAAGCCAAACCTTGTGGAAATCGGATGAGATTTAGCCGAGTTATAGAGATGGGAAATTTTTAACCATGTCTATATACGAATCTCGGGGTAAGATTTGGACATGAATTTCCACCAAAAATAGGTGTTCAGATTTTAATGCCAGATCAATCTAGAGGGAAAACCATGAATAAAAAGCCAAGCCTCGTGGAAATCGGATGAGATTTGACCGAGTTATGGAGATGGGAAATTTTGACCCATGTCTATATACGAATCTTTGGGTAAGATTTGGACATGAATTTCGACCAAAAAATAGGTGTTCAGATTTTAATGCCAGATCAATCTAGAGGGAAAACTATGTATAAAAAGTCAAACCTCGTGGAAATCGGATGAGATTTGACCGAGTTATGGGGATGGGAAATTTTGACCCATGTCTATATACGAATCTCGGGGTAAGATTTGGACATGAATTTCAACCAAAAAATAGGTGTTCAGATTTTAATGCCAGATTATTCTAGAGAGAAAACCATGAATAAAAAGCCAAGCCTCGTGAAAATCGGATGAGATTTGACCGAGTTATGGAGATGGGAAATTTTGACCCATGTCTATATACGAATCTCGGGGTAAGATTTGGACATGAATTTCGACCAAAAAATAGGTGTTCAGATTTTAATGCCAGATTAATTTAGAGGGAAAACCATGAATAAAAAGTCAAACCTCGTGGAAATCGGATGAGATTTGGCCGAGTTATGGGGATGGGAAATTTTGACCTATGTCTATATAGGATATTTAAGATCAGTCAGTCAGAACAAACCGTTTTATATATGGAGATGTATTCAGTTTGAACAAATATTTTTTTTTTTTTTTGGCATTTCTTTGGGGTTTATTTATAGATTCTTTTTAATTATAAATATTTTATTTCGTGGTATAATTTTTGTTCTTCAGTCTTTTGTGCAATC